TCTAGCTAAATAGCTTTATAAGAAGAATACTTTACCTAATCTATAAGTATAATAATAACGTAAAAATCTTACACTATAGTATCTCTCTAGTTATTACTATAAATCTAAGTTATTCTCTTTACTAGGCGTATACCTAGTATAATTATTATACTATTCTTAATATAAAAATATTACTATACGTAAATTACTTAATATTAAGTCTATAGACAAAGTACTTCTATACTTCTTTACTTAGAGTCTAGCTTAGTTAATAGAGATAATACAACTTAATTTAGTTAAGTTAATATAGATTATAAATCTAAAGCGTAGATAGACTATAATTATAAGAAGTAAAAGTAGCGTAAAGCTACATTAGTACGTAAACTAAATAATCTATTATCTACTATAGCTATAGATAAGCAGCGTTTATTACGCAAAGTTTATAGTTCTATTCTAAATAAATACTACTTTAAGACTAGTTATAACTTTAGTAAATATAACTATAGTAGAGTAGAGTTATAAGAGTACTAAGAACGCTGTAGATGTAAGCACTACTTTAATAGATAATCTAGTCTTTATTATAGACCTTCTACTATAGACTATAATAATACTAGCTTTAACTTAGCTTATCTTCTAAATAAAGTTTATAAACTTTCTATAATATTTAGAACTATAGCTATTATTACTAGTAGTAATTAATTAATATAACTTCTATATATACTTATATCTTAGTTTTGTTTATATAGAGTATATTATAGAAGTAGTAAGATAAAATATAGCTAATAAAGTAAAGAGGTTTTTAGGTAAAGCTTTTAGAGTTTAAGTTACTAAAACGTGCTATAGTATAGTTAGAATAAGCGCTAGCCTAGTAGTACGCTAATATTATTCTATACGTATATTACACTATATCTATAATTAGTTATATTAGTAATATATTTATAAAACGTCTACTTAGAGTAGTATAAAACTATAAACTATATAAGGTATTAGTAGAGAACGTAGTTAAGAGGTTAACTATACGTTACCTATTCTACTTAATAGCGCTAATAGCTCTAAATAGTAGTTTTTATAGTATATTCTATTTAAAAGTACTAACACTAGGCTACTAAATATATACTATTTTAGAGTACTGCCTAGTAGATATACGTAAAGGTAAGTAGCTCTTATATACTAAGATAATATATATTAACTAGTAGAATATTTATAGAGAGAAAATAGATAAACTTCTATAGTATTAGTCTATCTTTATAAGTTTATAGAATCTATTACTCTTAGTATAAAGCAAAGATAGTTATAAGTATAGTATTCTATTTCTAATTATAAGTAATCTATAGAAAGATAGTATTATTAGCTACGTAAGTATTAGTAGCAAAGCGTACTCTATACAAGACGCGTAGACTAATATATAGAATTTAAAGTAAGTTATTATAATAGAGGTAGAAAATATATATAGATATTTAATTAGCTTTTAACTTAATATTATAGCTTCTAGAGCTAGTATAATAAATATACTTATAGACGTAACGTATACGTAGCACGCATAGTATTAACTCTAAAGTTAGATATATAAACTAATAGTAAGTCTTACTATTTATAATATAGAACTAACTACTTAGAAAACTAATATACTTAGTGTATTCTAGAGTTTTTTTCTTATCTAGTAGATAAATAAAGAAATAGCTAACTTTTTTAAAGTACTTAACACTACTAGTAGAAAAGAATATAATATAGTAGTAATAAGAGTTTATAGCTAACTTACTATATTCTATAAAGATATTTAAAATATTAGTAGATTTATAGTAGACTATTCTAGACTATAATAGTCTTAGATAGATCTACTAGAAGCTAGATAAGATAGAGTTATTAAGAGTAAGCGTAAATATAAGTAGAATAAATAGTATAATATAGATAGTTATCTACTAGTATTATATTAGCTTAGTTATATCTTAGTAATTTATAATACTTTATAATAGCTTATAATAAGCTATTATAGACTATCTAGACTACTAGTAGAAAATATTAAAATTAAAAAAACTTATCTAATTATTATTAGTTAGTATAAAAGTAATAGTTAAGAAATCTAAAAGATTTTAATATAATACTACTAAGACGCTAGCTACTAGTGTAGATAGTAGTATTTACTATAATATTCTATTATTATCTATTTTAGTAGTAAGTAAGAAAATTATTAGATAAAAGTAAAGATAAGTTTAAAAATAGCTTTCTTATAATATAGTGTATTCTATATCTACTAATATATATTTTAATTACTAGATAATAATAATCTATAAAATAGTTTATCTTAGTCTAGAATAATCTATTCTATCTAACTCTAGAGAATTAAAGCTAAGAAGAGAGATATTATTAAAAATCTATATTCTAAATAGTTAGATAATATTATATAATCTAATCTAGTATAAGTATAAGTAGATCTAAGAAATTATTACCTAGAAGTTAATAATTTATCTATTCTTACTAGATAATATACTATTACTTTACTATCTTTTATATTCTATATTAATTAGTAGTTACTTATCTAATAAAAGATTTATAGTTAGAATATATATACTAAAATTTTAGTAAAAGTATACTTTTTCTATTTTTTTAATTTTTATAAGTTTTAGAACTTTAAAAATATATTTAAAAAACTAATAGTAACTTAAAACTAATACTAAAAGCTATACTATTTAAATAACTTTTTTATAAGTTTCTAAGAGTTTATAAGTTAATCTAAAACTAATTTTATTACTAGTTATATTATACTATCTTACTAATACTTAACTAAATTATTCTATTATTAATCTACTTTAATTACTTACTTCTAAATTATATTACTATTACTATATAGATTTTCTTAAGATTATATCTATTTTAATAGAAATACTACTAATCTCTCTACTATAATAATCTTATTACTATACTAATATCTAAATTTATATAAAAATTATTTAATAGTACTAAAAGAGCTAGTATAGAGTTTTTAAATATCTTTTTAATATCTTTTAATATCTATTTACTATAAAGATAACTCTAAATTAGACTTAAGATACTATTAAGAAAGTTAATAGTATAAACTAGACTATTATACTTTCTTTAGAAGTAAGTAATAGTGCTGTAATTCGCGACGCTTAAACTGCTATACCTTGTTGCGAGCAACGGGGTGTTGTAAGGCGGGCTATAGCACTTTACCTCGGCTTTACGGCTCTTAACCCTACCTACGGCAATATCGCAAGTCGGCTACTTCGCGCGTTAACAACCAACGTCATACGACAGCCGTAAACGCAACAACAGCACCGATGTAACCACCACTAAAGCACGATGGTATCCCCGGCGGCAGCGCGCACTCTGCGCATCTCGCGCCCAGCACGCAACGCTCTACGCCTCCGCATTCACCCCCAGCGATGCCACTTCAGCAGCACCCCCCACCCGCACATCATGGAAACAACCGGCTTCACTTCCACACAACTCGAAATCCGCGACGCCATCTTCGCACTCTGCTCCCGCTTCCCCAACAGCTACTGGCGCGACCGCGACGACAGCAGCAGCGACCCCTCGGACTTCCACGCCGCTCTGGCGAAAGACGGGTGGCTCGGCATCGCTTTACCAGAAGCATACGGGGGCTCTGGCCTAGGCATCTCAGAGGCGACAATGATGATGCAGACGATAGCGGAGTCTGGCGCTGGCATCGCAGGCGCGCAAGCGATTCACGCGAATGTGTATGCGACGCAGCCGCTGGCTAAGTATGGGAATGATGAGCAGTTACAGGAAACGATACCGAGGATAATATCGGGGGAGTGGCGGACGTGCTTTGGGGTTACGGAACCGGATTCGGGGTTGGATACGCTGCGGTTGAGTACGTTTGCGCGGAAGGATGGGGATGGAGGGGGGTATAGCATAACAGGCCAGAAGATATGGATTACATGTGCGCAAGTCGCTTCACGCATGATCCTGCTCGCGCGAACTACGCCACGCGAAGAAGCGGAGAAACCGAGTAAAGCGCTGAGTCTATTCTGCATTCCACTCGATCGCTCAGCGCCCGGACTGGACATGCGCCGCATCAAGAAGATGGGTGGGCGCGCTGTCGATGCGAATGAGGTCTTCTTCGACAACTACGCAATCCCATCTTCATGCCTCGTCGGCCGCGAAGGCGAAGGCTTCAAAATCATCCTCGGGGGCATGAACGCCGAGCGATGCTTACTCGCAGGCGAAGCCCTCGGATTAGGCTACGCGGCCCTCACAAAAGCCGCCGCCTACGCGCGCGAACGCCACGTCTTCCAACGCCCCATCGGCATGAACCAGGGCATATCGCACCCCCTCGCGGACGCGTACATGCAGCTTGAAGCCGCGAAACACGTCACGTACCACGCGGCGCGGCTGTATGATGCGAGTAAGACGGATGAGGGGATTAGGCAGGACGCGATTGGGGTTGCGGCGAATAGCGCAAAGTATCTTGCGGCTGAAGCGGCGTTTGCGGCGTGTGAGAGGGCGGTGCTGGCGCATGGGGGGATGGGGTATGCGGCAGAGTATGATGTGGAGAGGTTTTTGAGGGAGTGCTTTGTACCGAGGATTGCGCCGGTGAGTAGGGAGATGGTGTTGAATTATATTGGGGAGAAGGTTTTGGGGCTGCCGAGGAGTTATTGATGTGGGGATGTGATGGTGGGAAGTAGGTTCAACAGCGACGTGGAGGGAGAGATGAGATGTTCATCACGACCCCGCCGTCGCCACCACCCACTCGCAAGGTTTCGGGGTCGCGGCGAAGCCATTGAGCATGCAAAGAGTTGGACAGGAAGCAGACTCAAGGGTGAATGGAAGGGTATCCTCGATACATGTACAAAGGCAAGGCTACATAAGAAGAGCCTCTACATATCTGTTCATATATCCATATCCAACATGAATGGCAATTAACATCGTCTCTAGTCATATACAACAAGAATCAAACGCTATTAACAGCATCCGCGTGTCCAACGCGACTCCATAACGCCAATGCAGTCGAATGCGCAACGCCTCGCTATCCCAAATCATCACTCCACCTTCTCACCCTCCTCAACCCTCTCCTTCTCCTGCACCAAATCAACCTGCTTAACCGGATGCAACAACACAGCCGGAAGACACATCCTCCCCTCTCCCGCAACCTCATATTCCTCACCACCATCGTTATCAACCTTATACCCCATCCATCTCTTCCACAGATTCGGTGCAAAGCCAGCGTGGTAGTACCAAGTCGTACCCAAAAAGTTATGTTGTCTCTCATCGCTAAAAACAGACATGCGCGCGCCGCCACTCGCGCCATTACGGCCGTTATTGAAGATAGCGGCGAGGTACTGGGTTGGCCATTTGCGGTCAATGAACACGGGATGCGGTGCGTACACGGCTTTGAGGCCGTGGTGCAGGGCGCAGGATGCGGGCCACATTTCGGAGAACATGGTGTGCCGGTGACGCGACTGTTCGCGGTGCATTGTTTCGAGGAGGCGGCGGGAAAGGCGGCCGGAGGTGTTGATGGCGGTGCGGCGAGGGGGCAGACCATTTTTCTTGTCGTAGCCTGTGACGTCGTCGGCGAGGATCCAATTTGTGTGGTCCGGATCGAAGAGGGGGTTGAAGACGATGAGGTCGGCGGGTTCGCCAACGCCCCATTCGTACTTGTCTTCTGTGATGGTTGTGTTGGGTTTCACAGACTCGTCAATCTCGATGTCGGGGTAGTCTTGCGGGAGTTCTGGACCCCAGACTGGCTTCTCGGGCTTTTGCATTTCGGCGAGGGGGACGTGGGGGTTGGGTGGGAGATGCGATGACCACTTGTTTGCTTGGTTGTTGGTGCCGTGCTGGGTCTGCCAGTGCACCATCTGCTTGAACTCTTCCCAGGCACCGTGGACGGATGGGACGTAGAACCGGGCGTCGCGCTCCCACAGCCCTTTGCGTGGCTGGGCAGTCGTCCACTTGGAGACCTGTTCGAAGAGGTGGTAGTGGTGGCCGGTATACCGAACATCCATTTCCCAGTGCCAGAAGAAGTCGAACTCGGGATGCTGGTGAGCAAAGTACGTGACTGGCATGAAGGTGGAGCGATAGACGCCGTGTACAGGCAGCCCGCGGTAGTTGGACTCCTCTAGGCCGCCGTAGATCAAGCCCATCTGACGTTCCGACCAGAGCGTGCCCATACCAGCGAACTCAGCAGGTAGCGCGTTCTTGAGGACTTCCTGGTGGATCGCCTCGTCGGCCCAGATCTGCTTGTTGTCGTCGTGGACTTGGATCAGGAAGTGGACTTCGTATTCGCCACCGGACGCGAGGCTCAACTCGGAGACGAGTGCGCGCAGGTACATGATGTCTTCGTCGTCGTAGTTGTAGTCGTCCCACGTTCGGACGAGGACTGCAGTCCTGGGGAGAAGCTTATTGTGTGTCGCCTTCGGTTGTAGCACGGTGCCGTTTGCGGGAGAGTCGTCAGCATCGCGTTTCTGCATGGTAAACGAGTCTGTCCGGGACTTGGGTTGCTTCTGAAAGCGGCCCTTGTTCTTCTCCAGGCAGCGGTCGATTGCCTCCGCCCAGCTGACGTCGCGGAAGTCTACCTCTGCGTCCACCTTCCACACGTCCTCGATGCCTTCGCGGTCGCCCTCCATGCCGGCGCCCGTTCCACCGCGCCGCTTGCTGTAGCCGAGGCCATACGGACCGAGCCGTCCAAAGCGCTCAAAACAGACATCGTTCCTCAGACCCAGTGTCTCGTAGCTCCCAATGACGTTATCCGGCATACCCTGGGGAACGCCCTTGTATGCCCGCAGCCCTGGCACCTTGATGGTGTCGTTCGCATCGAGATAGCACGTCTCGACCGGCCCGTATGTGTCAACGTAGTTGACGCCGCTGTAGTCTGGGTACGGGTCGAATGGTATCGACTCAGCAATGTGTGCGCCCTGCGACTGTCGCTTTTCGACGTCGCTCTTGGACTCCTCCGCGGGCAGCTCAGGGTCAATGTCCTGCTTGGTGGGGTATTCCGGCACGTTCTTCTCCCGGCTCACCAGCGACCGCACGCCGCCGTGGTACCGCTTCAGGAACGGGAAGCTCTCCCAGACGTTGGGCGGCGGCGGCGGCTTATTCAGGCCGAGCTCTGCATTCCGTATCGAGGCCCAGCTGCTGCTGAAGAGGAAGTACATGAAGAACAGCAGCGTACTCGCCACGGCCAGCCCGAAGTATCTCGTGCATGCCCGCGGATTCCTATAGCTGTATGCGCTGACGGTAGCTTTCGAAGGGGCTCTCCGGTGAGACTTCGAGGACCGTCGCAGCGGTCTCGATTCGATGTTGTTCGGGTTCGGGTCGTATGCGCCCGACGATTCCCGGGATGAGGATGGGCTGGTTGTGCCCGAGGACATGTAGGCCTCGTAGTCGTCGCTTTGGTAGTCCTTCTCGTTGACTTCACCGTCCTCGACATCGCGCTCGTGGGTCGCCGCCTGGTTGTACGACTTGGCTTTCCGCTTGCCCACGGATAGCGGACGGAAGCCTAGCATCTCGATCGGGGCGTGGTGTGACGGTGACTATCGCATGTGCGGTGAGGTGACGGCGTTGCGTGAGGTCGGTGCGAGGGAGGCAGCTGGCCAATGAGGTCGTTACGTAAGGAATCTAGAGGTGAATTGGATATATACGTGTCGGAAAGCGTATCAGTCGTATCAATGCGTAGCGGTGCAGTTGGCGGTGCTGGTGCTGGTGGTGCTAGTATACAAAGTTGCAGCCCGCCCAGGGTGCACGCTCGGAAATCGGAAAGATTGCCGCGCGCACTAAACATGGCGTTGGCGGAACAACCACCGCCACTACGCGTACTACACAGCACCACACGGCCGACATCGTGGAACATTGCTTATCGCATATAGTCGGAAGCCAGGATTATGCCCTTGCGTGCTCAATGCATTCAAAATGATCAAGATGCGCATGATGCGACGTCTCCTACAACGACTTCGAGCCACTTCTCCGCGCTCAAGTGCTGATACATTACACTAAGACTCCCGCATACTCACCTTACAAGGAAACCCGTGCACCGGATGCGCAGCCCCTTGCGGCACCTGATACGCCCTCTCTTCAAACACCGTCTTGATGCCACTCGAAGGATGCAGCCGATCCCACTCCTCATACATATCCCTCACATCAAACTCCCTCACCGTCATCGCTAAGGTAATCTTGATATCCAGCATTGCCAGCGTCTGGCCCACGCAATTCCTTGGTCCAAATTCAAACGGCCGCCATCCCCCTTTCGGTGGGTATAAAGCATGACCGGGCTCGACAAGCCAGCGCTCGGGCAAGAAGGCGTGGGGCTCGGGCCAGTAGTTTGGGTTACGCTGGATTGCGCCGTGGACGACCCAGATGTTGATGTCCTGGGTGGGGTATTTGTTTCCGTTTTTGTCGCGGAGAAAGACGCCTGGGAGACCGCCTCGCATGCCTGAGGCGGGTGGGAAGAGGCGGAGAGTCTCCTTGACTACGGCGTTCATGTAAGGCAGCTTGTTGATCTGCTCTGGATGCTTCTTGAGCACACCGGCGGCTGTGTCGTTGCCTGCGCCAAAGACTTCGTCGAGCTCTGCGCGAGCTTTAGCCAGAGCTTCTGGGTGCTTGGACAGCATGTAGAGACTGTATACGATGGTAGCGGCAGTGGAATCGTGTCCAGCGAACAGGAACAGTCGGATCTGAACCGTCGCCCACCGCTTGAACTCAGGGTCGAGCTTTGCGGCTCCTTTGCGCTCGCCCATGTACGCGGCTATGGTGATGTCCATGACAGACTTGGCGCGGGTGGACGGCTTGTTGCTACGCCAATCTTCGTATCGTTTGTCGAGCTCCGTGCTGATGTAGCGATCCATCGTTTTGCCATTGCGCCATTCGATCCACGGACGGTACGGGTTCCAGCGCTTGAACGGGTTCATCTCTTGGTCCCGGCAGTTCCATTCTATGGAGCTGCGCATTGCTGCTGCGAGGGCGTTGTGGTTGGTCATGGAGTGGAGACGTGCGTTGCTGGTTGTGTTAGTACTTGAGACACACGTGATAATCTGTTGTTAAGCTTACATGGTGATGACGCCGATGAGATCCATCATATAGTCACACGTCAATCGATCCAAAGAAAACGTATCCCCTTTCTTCGCATGCTCTCGCAGCAATCCCACATAGACCTCAGCTTCCTCGATAATATGCGACGTACTCTCCATCATAACCCTATCACTAAACCCCGGGTTAAACAACGCCCTTGACCGCTTCCACTCCGCGCCATTCATATCGAACAGATTCGCGCCCCCCGCGAACGGCGCAAAGAACGGGATCAGGATGGGCGGCTTGGGCAGATCGTATTCCTGACACGCTTGCATTGCCATCTCAGGCGATGTGACTATCATGAGCGGACTAGTAAACGGCCAGAGATCGACGTAGAAGCAGTGATCAGACTCTGGGAAGTCGTTTGCGAGCAGGGTAAAGGCATCGGATTGCTGCGAGCCTTCGGGGAATTGTTTGAGGAGGTCTGGCAAAACTGTGAGATTTCCGACTGCGAAATTCCATGCCGGAACTGGCTTTGAGGAGGGGAATGTTAGCTCATTGGGTTGTGGTGTGTTTGGGGAAGACTGCGTACCATGCCCTGCTTTTTGAGCCTGTAGAAGATCATGCGCATCTTCACCAACTTGAACATGAAAACTGCAGTGGCGGCAGTCGCTGCAGATAGCGCGACCTGCCATGCTGCGCGCTTCAAGTCAATTGAATCCATCGTACGCTGCCTCTGGGATGATGTTGTGTCCCTCCGGCACACTTTGGGGCTCAAAAGTCGTGAGCTTGTCGCTACGTTGCCAGCAATCACAACGGGGCGCAAAACATGTCGAAGTCAAACAAGAACGAAGAGGATAGGGTATATTGATGTCACGTTTCGCAACGGCCTGGCAATCGCTTTTGTAGCCCGTCGCAATCGTAGCCATATCGGTGGTCGCGCGGTGCTACTTGGCTAGCGCTCACCGCGCTGAAGCGAAAACCAACGGGGCGTAGCGGCACAGGCTGCCACCGGCTATTCCTTGCAACCAACAACAACGCTCCGTATCCCTCGTCGGGTGCCTTGCAGACAAGGCCACCAGCCCTACGAAAACTCCTCCTCGCTAATGCCTGTCTATGCTTGATTTCACTTCCGCCCATTTCTTCACCACCGCTGCCTTCTCAGCATCACTCGCACTACGAAACGCGACCGCAGATCGGCGCAGCTGGATAAAGAAAATCTCCGCCTGCAGCGCAGTGAGATGCCGAGCCAAGAGCCCCCTCTCGACGCCTTTCAAGAAATATCCTGGCAGGCCAAAGACCGCTGACAGACAATGTTAGATAAGCGGATAAGCGGAATATTCGGAACCCGAACTTACCGGCTCCCAAATGGAGATATAGCCCAGCCAGACCTCGCCCAATTCCTTTGCCAAATCCCATGGCGCCTTCTTGTTTCGCGCCGAGATAGGGGTGTCGAACTATGCCTACGAGTGCGTCGCTGAGGCCGAGCACGAATTCTTTGCCGGCGAGCTTGCAGCCGCTGCCGAAACCGGTGATCTCGTCACGTTGCCTCGCGGGGTCGTTGTGGATTGCGTATGAGGGTAGGTTCCGGAAGCCGTTTGCGATGTTGTAGAAGAAGGCGACTGGGGTTTTGGCTCCTGTGGCCGCGAGATCACCAACATAATGCGCGGTAGCGCTTGTGATTTGGTAGCCACGGCCACCTCTTGCTCGCCTCGCAGCGATCTTCTCGCGGAGAGCTGAAATGCCCGGGCGGTTCTGCGGCTTCTCGAAATTGTGCGTGTAGTCGTCGTCGCATGACTTCGCTGCCATTCTGTACGCCAGGTGATGGAAGTGCTTGGACGTGATGCCCTTCTCCAAGTCTGGCTCATCAACGGTTGGTACTCTCCTCAAGGCTTCTGCGTCGGCCTCAGTCTCGCGTGGTCTCTTCTTCAGCCGTTGCGAGAACTCCGCCGTATCAGTGCTTAGACCAGCCATGAGCCCCCCAAAAGCAGCGACGACGCCGGTGAGTGGCCCTTCAGCGCCCTCATGGGTGTAGTAATGCCGATGTTGCAGCAAACGTAGATGCTTCAGATCCAACAGTCTTTCTTGGACAAGCACGGAGGCTGCGAAGCCACTGAGATGTGCGCCAGTCTCTTTGTCTCGCCATATAGCCAAGCGATCCGGACAAATATGGCATCGCATTCCATCGATGCCCAGCTTTTGCTGAAAGTCGCGTACAGTATCTCCGGCACCATCTTCCTCTGCAATACTTTCTGCCATTTTGTGAACTGCGACTTTGACAGAATCTTGCAGCGCAAAGGTAATGCTTGTCGCAAGGCTCTCGGCAGTCATCTGCTTGAACGGGACGGGCATTGGACCAGCTCCAGCCTTTGCGATCATCTATCGTATTGTTAGGTCGGCTCAGTCGTGTCTCAACGCTGACTTACCTGTCCCCAGAAGGGTTGGTCACCGAAGAAGGGCACAACAACCGTAGGCCTACCCAAGGCAATACCAGCAGCCGTTGTACCCGCACCTCCGTGATGGACCACACACGAAACCCGTTGGAAGAGCCAATCGTGCGGACAATTGCCAATGAGGTACACATCATCGGGCACCTCACCTGCACCCACGCCGCCCCAGCCCTTGGAAACTATGGCTCTAACTTTTGCCAGCTTCACAGCGTCAAAGATGAGCTTGGTGAGAGCCACTGGGTCATCCACCACTATGCTGCCAAAGCCGATGTACACCGGAGGAGGACCCTTCGCAAGGAACTCGGCCAAGTCGTCCGGCGGTGTGTAGTTCGACCCGGCATCTAGGAAAGAGAAACCGGTAATGCTGATGTGTGAGTCCCAGTCATTTGGCCGCGGGATCAAAGCCTGTGACCATAGGTAGCTATATGGGACGCGAAGTCTCGAAAGCAAGAGATGACCCCAGAGCGGACTGATAGCGTCTAGGTGCAAGGTCTGCGTCCTGAACTTGTTGATGACATCGCCTAAACCCTGCCAAGTGAGCAGCTCCATGATGCCGAAGCTGAAGTAGTTCGCGACGGACCTCTCAACTTCGCCATACTCCATGGCCGCTAGCGGGTGATGGAAAGCTTTTGTTGGCGACCACGGCATAGTGAAGACCATATGCAGCGGGATGCCAAGCTTCTCCGCGCAGTGGATGTGGCCCATGGACGGCGGGTTCGCAATGATGCAATCTGCGATGAACAAATCCTCAGGCGCGTCCACGTCCAATGCTGAGACTCTCTCGCCCATGCCATCACCCGCCTCAATGCAACTCCTCCAGGTCCCCTCCATCATCTCGGCCATCTCTTTTCGTCGCTTGCCAATGTCCCCGGCTTTGATGGACTGCATATTTGGAATCAGCCCTGGGTTCTTCACCATGTACGCCATGAGTGCTTCGGGGTCGCCTCCGATGGAAAAGAACTCCACTCCATTGCTTTCCACAAAGTCCTTGAAGGCGGGATGCGTGCAGATGCGCACTCGATGGTGATGTGGCGCAGCCTGGAGCAGCTTCGCAATCGGAATAAAAGGCTGTACATCGCCGCGAGACCCGCAGATGTGTATTGCGATGTTCAGTCGTGGTGCGCCGGTACTGCTGGTCTTGTCGCTGATGAACTCATCCACCAGCGTCGTGCTTCCTCTTCGCGGTTTTGCGCATCCCGGCGGTCGGCATGCCGCGGAATCTTTCTGGAGCTTGTCGAACCAGTATTTCAGATGCGTCGTGTTCCTGTGGAATTGTATAGCGACCTGGCCGAACGTGTTGACTCTTCCGGTACTTTGCGCTTTCCCGTCATGGTACTCGCCGCGCTTCTGCTTGGAGTTGAAGTTGAGAGGCATTGCGATACCGGCTGCACGCGGAAGCTACATCGGGCTCCCGATGGATTATAGGAAGATTAGACGAATAACGGGCATCAACATGCTTCAACTGTTGGTCTTGGTACGAGTAATCAGTCTTTCCGGGTTCCCTCTAGCGCACGCTTACACCTCTTACTCGATCGGCTCGCAATCTGCAGGTCGCGGATCTTCTGCGGCGAAGCGGGCCAATCCACGGCGTGTTGCCCATGCCGCGCCGCCGATCATCCGCGCCCAACGAACTTTCGCACGAACAGATTGTGCTCGGCCGTGTCTATCTCGATAGTCTGGACCGGAATCTCAGGACTTCGCGTGGCGGCGCCATGATCGTCCGTGTTGTTACGCCTATCACAGTTGGACCGAGGGCCGCATACATAGGCGTCACCGTCTCTACTCCCGAGTAGCTCAACGGCGTGACACCGAGCGCTGGTTCAGTGACATGTGAAGCAAAAGCACCCACTCCATCATTACCCTTGACTTGGACGTACAAGATTGCATCGCATACGACGACGGCTGCGCATACACATCCAGCCATGGCCGACGATCAAGAGAAGGGCATAATTGGGCGGGCGCGCGGCATGTCGCTGTCGTTGCTGCACACGACACCGCAGCTGGGCATGTGGCAGGCCACGGCGACGGCAATGGCTCAAGCGCCCAACTTGACCGAATTGCGAGAGCCGGAATCTGGAGGATCAAACATCACGTTCGACGCTCATGGTCATGCCACACGAGTAGCGGTTCCAGACGAAGATGGAGAGCTCACCTTGGTCAAGTCCCAGACTAGGATCCTTGACCAGCCCGCAACAGACGCGATGGTACCGGGAGAAGTGGACGAGAAGACTGGGAAGAGGTCGCGTAAGCCTCATGGACATGGACTCCACCGTCGACGAACGTTGAAGGAGAAGCACGCGTCGTCCGAGAAGGAACCGTGGGGCCCTACCATCAAGCACGGTCTGAAAGCCTTCTGGGTCTTCTTCCTCACACCGTCAGGCTTTCTAATCACCATCTACGGTCTCAACATCGTCGTACGTATGCGCGCTCCCCATTCGTGCCTCCTCTTACTAACGAACCCCAGGCCTGGGGCGCTATGCTCTTCTTCCTGCTCCTCAACGCCGCGCCCGCCATGTGCCACCCCAGCTGCAACGACGACTACAGCTCCCGCAAAATCTGGCTCGAAATCGACAGCCAGATCCTCAACGCCCTTTTCTGCGTCACGGGCTTCGGCCTCGCCCCCTGGCGCTTCCGCGATTTCTACTGGTCCATCCGCGCCGTCCACTTCCACGACTCAAACGCCATGCGCCGGCTCTGGAACCAGAATAAAGCTTGGTTTCGACCACCAAGCTGGTTTACGGAGAATGAGGGCTGGAGGGGCGAGGAGGAGTTGGTGCCGCAGACTTTTACGGGGGAGAGGGCGCCGCCGACTAGTATGTGGAAACTGGCGTTTACGGTTGATATGATGGTGTTGAATACGCTGTTGCAGGCTGTGTTGTGCTTTTTTATGTGGCATTGGGATCGGTTGGATCGCCCGACTTGGGCGACGGGGACTTTTATTGCGCTGGGGTGTGGGGTTGCGATGTTTGCGGGCATTATGTCGTGGTGGGAGGGGAGGAAGGTTAAGAAGATTGAGGGGCCTGAGATTAAGGTTGAGACGAAAGCTGCGGATGTGGAGAGTGGGTAGGGCGCGAGATTCGCCTGTCTGCGCTGTTCGGTTATTACATGTGTTTAATCCAGTGGACGAGTTTCTGCACCGGTGGTTCTTGTTATTCGAGGCAACCTGACTGAGTGGGTGTGATGCCGATTCGGAAATCGTGAGTCCCTCGTCTGCTCTGCGGCACCGCAATCCTACATCTTGAATGACAACGAAAAGCGCGAACTCGTCTTCAAAGAGGAAGGCCAAGAATACGCCCAAGTCGTCAAGATGCTCGGAAACGGATGTCTGAAATCGACAACGAGATAAGAAGGCCGGAAGAACAGAGACGTCGATGATGCCCAGGTGCGTTCGGCGCTATACGCACGTTAAGTATCGGATCCAGCACACGCAGCGACTCCGCCGACGAGAAAGATTGCAGCGCCAACGCTGTGAACCCCTTTGACAGCGCCGCGAAGCAGCAGTTCAGCCCCGACGACTCGCGCCTTTTCCTGATGATCCAGATCAAGGCGAGGGTGCTGAGAGCGCCGATACCTAACTACGCCGGGGAAGAAGCCAGCCGCGAAGGAACATGTAACCTTGGAAGTCACACATCCACACCATGCGATGCCGGCCCTGCTGATTCTTCACCCGTCTTGTTCTTTTCCAATTGTCACCGCGTACCAAGCTTAGTAATTACTAGTAAAACAGTCAGCCTTGGGTTTATGTCTTCCTCCGACTCGGCGGCGGTGCAGCATGGCTGAGTATCCTCTGTTAGGAAGATGCCCGCCAGTGCGGGGCACCTACATGTGGCACAGCCACTGTCTGCATCTCAGCCTTGAAGAGGCGGAGCGACAACAATCTTGCACACTTCAAATTACTTGTTATACTATCACAATAGTCGCGAGGTTCCCGACGCGGTTTCCACGACTTTACCACCATGGCAGAAATCATCGGGTTGGCAGCTTCACTAATCACCCTCGCGGGCGCGAGCGCGCAACTCGCCAGAACGCTCCTCGAAGTCGCCAACGTCATCAAATCAGCGGAGTATGAGGCTAGAATGATTGCCGCAGATATCTCGGTCTTTTCAAGTTCGCTCACGCAATTGAGTATGGTCGTGGATCTCCCACACTCTAAAACAGAGAAGCTTCGCGAGATCACCGTCGTCTTGATCGGCGCATGCCAAACCCTCATAGAGGATTTGAAAATGCTGATCGGGGAGCCGGTCCAACATGATCCTTCACGGCGTGCTTTCACCATTTCGCTCATACGGTTCCGATTTAGGTGGATGAAGGTTGGGCCTAAGGTCATGTTTGTCAAAAGCTTGGTGGATTCATTCAAGACCACCATCATCGTCCTTGTTTCTACCATGAACTTGGCTGTCGTACTGCAGCGAGATGCCCCGGACTCTATCAGGTAGGCAGCATAAAGTTGCGGTAGCAGTATCATGCTGACGTTTGTACAGCGAGAGTCTGAAAACACAGGTCGAGAGCAACATTAAGTTCGCGGAAGACGCTACAGAGTGTCTATGTCATCATCGAGATGCTCAACAAGACGACGGTTCCTCCTTTACGCTCACTCTGGATCCAAGCACTGCAATAGAGGCCGGAGACACGACACAGAACGCGGGTGGAGAGTTGGTCCTCCTTGGTGCAGCACAACAAGGTGTTACGAAAAGACACGACTCAACCATCTTCCAGAGCGGGGACTTCGACGAGGATGACTGCGCCCTCCAGGCTGCTCAGAACTGTACACAAATTGTCGAGATGCAGCAAATGTCTTGCGCGTTGGCCAGAGACGTGCTAGATCATCAGAGTCTGAAACCGACGTGGAGCTGGAATGCGACCGAGAGGTCGTCTGCGCATGAGGGATCACGGTTTTTCCCCGCAAGCGAAGATGGGTATTCGACAGCGGATACCGAAGGAGTCCAAGTCTTCCCTGAAAGCGAAGATCATTACTTTACAGCGGATACTGAAGGAATCGAGATTGTCCCCGCAAGCGAAGATGGTTACTCCACAGCGGATACTGAAGCTGATGCAAGAACACCGTCCGAGGAAAAAGGCGAAGGGTCGGTACGTCACAGCGAGCCGCAAGAACGATGGACTCCTTTTGGGAAATCATTTGCACATACAGGACGCCCGGACTCCAAGGCGAAGAGAAGCGGCAATCCGACTGTCGATACTGGTGTGCATCGGCAGAGGTCATCAAAGCGCGATGACGAAGAGGCGGTGCGCCATAGAAGTCCACGGCAACACGTTCCACGCGCTGAAAATGAAATATTCGACAGGCTAGAGAATTTGCTTATATCCAAGGAGGACGCAGATAAAAAAGCTGCTGAGAAGGCGAGGAGAGATGCGGAACTTGCGAAATTCGATCGACTAGAGAGTCTGCTCGTATCTCAGCAGGAGGCAAAGATCGAAAAGGAAAAGGCAAAGAAAGAGGCTGCTGAAAAGTTGAAGGCAGAGATGGAAGAAAGTCAAATGGACAGGGTGGAAAAGCTGATTTTGGCGCAACAGGAGGCGAAGGCTGAAATAGAAAAGGCAAAGAAAGAGCATGCTGAAAAGGCATTAGCAGAGGCAAAAGAAGTAGAGAAAGCTAGAACAGCGACATTCATCTTCCATGATGCAGTCGGCCGCAAGTTCGAATGCCCCTGGCTTTTGTGCAACACTTGGGAGGTAAGTAATTTGCACACCTGCTTAAAGTTCGCAAACTAACTCCATCAGGGAATGCGGGATTTCATCGCAAAAGTTAGCTCCGGCGTAGCAGTGCTCTCCCAGCTAGTCGACAACGGAGAGTACGATCTACTGAAAGACGACCTCATTATTCCGCCGCATCTCTGGGAGAGTATGGTATCTCCGGGTTCATCGGTGACCATGCGCGCCAGGAAGTTGGCCTCGCCTCCGGTTGACAAGAAGGCTTCATGGTTCCGTAGGTCGATAAGCAAGGGGAGTGGCTAGGAATACGTTTGAGATATTATTGTATCTGTTACTATCGAAGCGAGCGCTCGCAACAACAACCTTGTATCCAGGGTACTACCACTACTCCTACTAACACGACCTCTATCTCAGCCCGTGAAACACTGCCGCATATGTCTAGGCTATTGCATCTTTTGTTGTGCCTTCGCTATCAACATCAACTTCAAGCGAAGAATGCGTCTGCCTACAGCGCAATGTTGCTACCCTAGCAATCTCTGTCAATGGCGCCCTCACAAAGCGGGAAACAATGCTCACTGCATCGCATTCGTCAATGATCGGCATTGTATACCTGCCATGCATTCTCCTTCTAAGACCATCTGCTTATGTAGCTTTTCGAAGTTGCGCAAGCATAAACCACCCAATCTAACTCCACGTTTCCGCCGTACCTGCAAGTCACGTCCCCTGTTCCCCAACCGCAATCTCCCAGCCCACCCTCTCTAAATCCCTCAACACCAGCTCCTCGAACGCTCTTGCAGCCATAGAGTGAGGCGTACTAGCCGGAACCAAATCCTTGAGGTGAAAAGCTTTCGTGTCCGCCATATTCCTTATCCAACTCACTTGCAGCGCCTTTTTCTCCTCCCCTTTTTTCGCCATAGCCAGCAGTTCCAGAATTGAGGCCGATATACCATGGTTAATTACGTCAAGGCATATTTCGTATCCCACATCGAGAAATACGCGGTGTGCGAGGAGGATGTTTGGGAAGGCGTATGCTGACTCGTACAATTTGCGCCGTGGGACAATGTGCGCGCACATATGATAGTAGTGACGCTCAGCCCGCGGAGACCAAGTGAACTGGGTGTACCGATAAAACTGCGCCGTAGACTCCGAGAACATCTGCTGGCTCGTCCATATCCATGCATATTCTTGCGCGTGTCTGAGTCCCTTGCAGGGGCCTCCATTCACTGGTTTGACAAGATCGCATGCCGACATGAGACTTGCCCTGTATGTACCAGTAGATGAATACTCAGCTGTCATAACTGGGCCCCAGGGGATAGTATCGTGCTCCGAGAAGTTCCAGGTTAGCTCTTGGTAGAAGGATATCATCGTACCGCTCCAGGCGTGGTGGTATATCAGGTCGCGGATCTCTCTCGGCAGGCGGAAGAACCGGTCAAGGAATATTGTGTGCTGTTTTCGGGCTCTTTGTTTCGATCTTGCTGCTTTGCGCCTTTCGTATGGAAGCAAGGCCTCGATTAGGGATGGCCGTTCTTCCTCGACTTTTGCGCTCAGTTCAGCCGCGCGGTAATGTGCCTTGTATGCGTTCTCTCTTGCGCGTGCAAGCACATGGTCGAGATGGGCTATGCGGTTTCTTATCGCTCTTCTCTCAAATTTCTCGAAGCGTCGTGCGGCTTTACGCTGCTCTTTAGTGGGCGTCTGGTCGGCGACTAGCACCTCTTGTTCATCGCTCTGTTGTTCCAGCTCATGTTCGTCCATCGTAGTGAGTGTTATGAGGAGAGATAATAGATGCAAACGACGAATATTTTGGGTGCAAAGCTTTTCGAGTAGATGGATAAATGTAACGTTCGCTACCAAACATGCGACACCTATGGCTGTTCCGTGGTTCGCATACACCCCATAAATAAGACGAGCCAACCATGAGTCTCATGATTGCAATCCCTCTCATTTGAGGATTACGATTTCGAATAGGATGGTGGTATATTGCGCGAGTTGTGAGTGGCTCATTGCTTACTCTGCGTCTTCGCAGTACCAGAAGTTCTTGGGGATGCGAGGTTCTTGGAGATGCGATACTTCTCTCTTTCGTAGAGTATCTCCTCGCAGTACCAGTAGATGGGGTGAATAACAGAGAGCCAACCATGACTAGCGTCGCCAAATATGACGAGAGAGCATAAGACAGGAAAGGAAACAAAATGCACAAAGGTTCAAATCCGAGGAAGAAATCCCTCTTGTTTCTCACCCTAACCATCATTCCCCTACCTCTCCTCGAACAGCAGATCTTCCACCAAAGTGGGCTCATAAGACCAGTCCAGCTTACCGCGCACATCCCACTTGTCTCCACGGGTCCTTTCAGAACGCCCATTCAGTCTAAGTTGCAGCTTCGAGTACATCATATACGGCTGGCAGCGATCCGAAGCGCCCTCTCGCGAGAGATGAAGAGTGAGCCGCTTAAACGCGCCTTGCCCCGATCCCAAAAGACGATCTGCAATACCGATCGCAGACGCGATAGTACTCTCTTTGTTAAGTTCGGGGTGGGGGATGTTGCCCCAGATGTCCTGGACGAGCTTTTCGCTGTAGTCGTTTGCTTCGTGGGGAATGTGCAGCCAGAGATCAAGCTTCGTAAGATCCATTCCTAACAGGGCGACGAGATGTTGCGGATCGATCTAATGGTACGGTCAGCGCGACTATGATTTGGTCCGCGTGAGCATGACTTACGTTGCGTTCGCAGGGTGCGTCCCAGCCTAGATGCTTGAGCCTAGGAAATGTCCGCGCGATATCCTTCAAACGGCTGAAGGGCATGACTACCTTGTGGCAGTATGCTTCAAATGTCGGCCCAAGGATCAGTGTCTCGAGTGTATCCTTGTGCTGCTCAATAGCGGGCCAAAGATCGTCTATACCCGCTTGCGCTCGTGACAGATCGAGATGTTCAAGTGCGTCAATCGACTCGATGAACCGCTTCGCAGGCGATTTATCACCCTCCCACATCCCAAAACTCAGCACTTTGAGCTTCGGGCAAAGTCCGGTGAAGCAAGAAAAGAAGTTTGCGGGATGTTCGCCGCCGAAGTCGAGCTTACGCAGTCGGGAACAGTCGATAGCATCGCGAAACATGCGACAGTAGTCGAGATCCCAGAGAAACGCCGTCTGGCCATGGTATCTCAAGGTCTGAAGAGTCATCTCCTCCAGTAGAGGGAGGCGCATACCGGTGGTGAGATCAAGGCGCGGTATCTTCGCTGGCTCCGTATCGGGTGTAAAAAGGTTGTGACCGTCTTGCAAAACTTGTAGCCGAAGAGATCTAACGTTCCCGCCAGCCGCCAGTGCCTGGGAGAGTCGAGGCCACTCGGATCGGCAAGGGTGCTCGGGGGCGAAGCCCTGCATATATACCTCGTAGGTCAAGCTAACAAGAAGCGGAGATGACAGGAGCTTCATGTCCATCTGGCGATGTGCAACACTCGTTGCCGTCTTCCGGTCTACGACAACAACGCGTATCTCGGGCTTCGGCTCAATTGCATGAATGATGTCGTATACTGCCGGAGTTATGTGCGTGGAAGTCTCCCAACTACAAGAGTCAGTTTCAGTATCTTGAATTGGTTAAAGGAACATACTTGAGCGATCGAAGATTCTTGTGCCGCGAAGTCTTGTTGAGTATCATAACCAGGTCTTCGGAGGGTACCTCGTCTTTGACGGTGATGCTGCGGCTGTGCTTCGTAAGGTCACCGTGCTCATGCTTGGAGAGCTTCTCCACAAGTGTCTTGTATGCCGTTGACTCTCCGTTCAAGATGATGTTGCGGTATATGTATGGTAGCGCCGCATGGTGCAAGACTTCGGAAGATTGTGCCACATTCAGTAGATCTGCGGGCGATGTGTCCACGATATCGGAGAGAATGAGGTGATGAATGTCATCGGGAACGGCGTTTAGGTTGATCATCTGGCCCGCAACGCCCTGCGACGAAGCAGAAGCGGTGTTGCCAGCGACGAGAGTGTTGCGAATTGACATTGTAACAAAGATACGTAACCAGAATACTAGCATGTTGGTCAATCTGACTAGAGATGCAAGACATCTTTATACAATACAACCTTCCAGGCAGAACTATGAAGTAGGCGCAGCAACCCACGCGGTGCCAACAGGACCGAAAGCCATCACGACGACACGAGATTTCGAGCGCCTGAGGCAACTCCACAATGGGCGGTGTGGTAGACATCTCATAGCCAAGTCCAGAATCAAGATTCTACCAGGGACGATTTGGAAGCGATACCGGATACCGTTGATGAACCAGGAAGAGCGCCAGCCTCGCTTTCATCGGGCTGAAGGGATTGGAATTCACTGCCACGACTGCGCCACGACGGGGGGTCGCTTCGCGTTGTATTCGGGGATTCACGTTGCATGTAGAGAGGTCCTGAGCGATAGCGCGAACAATCGCGGGCGAATTCGGTATCTATCCGATGCGCGATGCTGGTAGATGCTAAGTACTTGCGGCAGTTGTAGGTGTGGTGTGGCAGAGGTGCTCAAGTGGTACCACCTGGGCAGCGATGACGCACTAGCACGTGACTGGCCGGCGCGGGTGGTCGGGCCTCCGTTCCGCTGCTGCCTAGTCAGTCCATCACCACCTCAACAACATCACCACGAAACAACACCGACACACCTTGAATCGAAAATTGCCAGAGCCGTCGCTCACCCTCGCCATGACCTCTTGGAAGCATTGCAATTGCAAAATGACTACGAGCGCACAATCAAGGCGCTCGGCCGCCTCGTTGCCGACGCACCGGCGCTGAATTGTTGACAATCGGTCTGTGGAATTGTATCTGCGACGCAAACGCGTCGGAAGTGAGTCACCGTCATGCCTCCGCTGTTTTTAGCACCCTGCTAACATCGTTGAAGATGAACAAGACGATGCCGTCGTCGCTGCCCTTGCATTCAAAGCGGCAGAATTACGAACCAACCTCGAAGAATTGTCCATCTTGCAAACCTCGCAATCGAAATCGCAAAATGACAAAGCGGAATCGGAGGCGTCGCGAGAACGTCGGCATCCATGGCATATTGCGGCGGCCATTCGCGACTTCGTCCTCAACCATGATCCTTGAACAAAATTGCTTGAACCAAATCGAATGATACGAATCGATATGAATCGAATCGATTGAACCAAATCGACATGAACCAAATCGACATGAATCAAATCGACATGACCCAAATTAATTGATCCAAATCGACACAACAATCACAACCGCCTTACACCGCGGCCATTGAACCTCGACGTAAGTACCAACCCCCAAAGCCCTTCCCAAACCACTGAAGTTAATCCTTAGACAGACAAATGAAATGGAAAATTGAGCTATCGCGGCGGCGGGAATGGCAAGCGGCTCGTTTGGCTAATGAAAGCACCGAGCATGATTTTCACTGCGTTCTATCGTGGTCTTTATCACGGTGCACTTTACTTTCGCGTTCTATCGTGGTCTTCATCACGGTGCACTTTCCTTTTACGTTCTATCAGATCCACATCTGGTGCACTTCCCTTTTCGCGTTCTATCGTGGTCTTCATCACGGTGTACTTTCCTTTCGGACTCTATCAGATCCACATCTGGTGCATTGTCCTTTCGCGTTTTATCGGGTTTAGATCTGGTGCATCTGTTTTCGCGTTATATCGTGGTATTCATCACGGTGCACTCCGTTATATCGTGGTATTCATCACGGTGCACTCCGTTATATCGTGGTCTTCACCACGGTGCACTTCGTTATATCGTGGTCTTCACCACGGTGCACTCAGTTCTATCGTGGTCTCCATCACGGTGCATCTTTCTTTCGCGTTCTATCGTGGCTTTCATCACGGTGCATTTTCCTTCCGCCTCTTATCTCGGAGTCCAACTCCGAGGTGCATGCCTGCTTTTCTATCATGGTGCTTCCATCATGGTGCATCCTAGTTAGACGTACATAGCGACAAATGGTATCTGAACCATCACGTACACGACCCCAGCTTTCTGATCTTATTCATTTCATGACTTTTCATGCATGTGGCCGAACGCCGTCAATGCTACCGCAGGGATAATGTAGTAGTTATACAGCGCTTCTCGGACAGACTCTAACTCGCTCGCTCGCTCGCTCGCTCACGAGTATATCAACCCCCTGCTCACATTGTCTCTCATCATAGCCCTCGCGACCATTGTCTGACCTCGAACCCGACTTCTTCCCTATAACGCTGGTCCCAGAGCGTCATGTCGCGCCATGTCGCGCCATGTCGCGCTTACTGCGTCAGCAGTGGCATGTCACTAGAACGCCAAACTCCATGCAGTGTGCCTTTTATCCCATTCATGCCTCCTGCTCTCTTTGTTGCCTGCCCTTGCCGCCGCCTCGTCGGTCGCCGCCCTTGCCCCTGTTGTCGCCGTCCTTCTTGCCGTCGCCAGCGAGAGGGTCGCCGCCGCCCATGGTGAGCGCCGCGGTCGCGAGGCGGTTCGAGAGGTCGATTTGTGTGCGGATGGTGTTGGCGAGGTATGATACGACGAGGACGTCTTGGATGTGTGCGTTGCTGTGATTGTTAGCATATGTCTGGGAGTATGAATAATTCTGACGTACAAGTCGCGCTCAATGTCGGCGGGCTCGACCTTGGGTGCCAGGCTGAGGGCGTTCATCAGGAACTGGCCCAGCGCGGACGATGGCTCAGCCTCCTCGTCCAGCACGTTGTTAACGTAGTTGGAGACGCGCTCGAGCATGTCCAGGACGTGTGTGATGGCCGTCTCCAGCGAGTCGAGGTCGGTCATGACGTCCTGCGACCGGTCCTCGCGGTCCTTGGCGGACGAGATGAGCTCCAGGCCTGACCTCTCGGCCTCGCCGTACTTGATCTCGTGGGGCACGGGGATGAAGAGGCATGAGTCGGCGGCGCGCTCGGCGGTGACACCAATGGGCGCGGAGATGTACGTCTTGGACTCAATCTCCTGGCCGGGGACGGTCGAGACAGTCAGGTGGACGGCGGGGTGTGGCCATGTGCCGTCGCCTTGCTGGCTGTAGAAGTTCTGGATGAGGGCGGAGAAGGTGTTGAGGTCGCTGCTGGTCGCGTACCAGCCGACGAGGACTTCGCGGGGGTTGGCGCGCAGGTGCAGGGCGAGCATCTGCTTCTGGTAGTCCATGTCGACCTCGACCTGCTCGGCCGTCTCGGTGTGGGGGACGGCATAGCAGTTGCGGATCTCGATCTCGGTGCCGTCTTCGCTGCGGGTGCCGAGGAGGGTGCCGATGACGCGCTCTTGCTCGGCGGGGCGGCGGAGCGAGTGGTCGAGGATGGAGAAGACGGCCTAGCAGATGGTGTCAGAGAGTAGAGCAGGCAGCCTCGACCGTGGCTTGTCGCATACCTGGGGCTGGATGGCGACGTTCAGCGGGGCAGTCGACGGCTGCGTGCCCATGGACGCGGGGCCGAGCGGGCGCGCCAGATGCAGGAAGGAGTCGTTCTCGGCCATGGTGGCGGTTGTAGTGGTGATAGGTTCTTGTTTGGTGGGCGTGGTGTTGAGGCGCTCGGGACGTCAAATGTGGTTGGTGGGGCACGCAGCGATATTCTTCACGAAATCTGGGCAGGTGCGTTCGCTTGCACGGACCATCTGAACTTTTTCTGGCGCGCCGAGTTAACTTGCGGAGTATCTCAACGCGACGACTCTACTTCGACCACAGACATTTCGCTTCTTCCCTTGCGCAAGAGGTAGTCGCAACGCAATACTACCCTCACTCAACGCGGCAAAACCACCTAAACCCTGCGGAAGACTTGCTTCACATCAGCGCATACACCTGCGCAACCGACATGGCGCCAATGAGAGGACGAGGCGGATCTCGTGGAGGAGGAAGGGGCGGTAGTAGGGGCGGCGGAATGGGAAGGGGCAGAAGCGGCATGAGAGGTCGTGGAAGAGGTGGAAGCAGAGGCGGATTTGCCGCAGCGAGAACACGAGACGAGGTCGAAGATTCGTGAGTACGGATATTGGTCGCGGGTGCATGGGTCCAATCCTAACAGTACCAGAAACATGCCCATGCGCGAACCCACCCCATCCGACGAGAGCGAATCCGACGTATCAGAAGACGATGTCTCGGACGAAGAGGAAGAAGAAGAAGAAGCGCAACCCATCTCGAACGCCTATGCGACTCTCCTGCAGTCTTTCTCGTCGCGCAATACCGGCTCGGAAGAGCATCGCAAGAAGAGGCGGAAGCTGGAGCACGACGAGCCTGAGCAGGAGGTCGAATTGGACGACGATGCTGAATCTACCACCCTGGAAGGCGACGAGGCGGAGGACGAGCAGGCAGAGGTTGATAATGATGAAGACGTCGACGATGACGATCAGGAAGAGCAGGAGCTCGAGCAGGCCTACCAGAAGCACTTTGGGAACCCCGACGAGAACGAACTAGCCGCGCGACTCAAGCGGATAGCAGCCAACCAGTGGACGTCACAGAAGCTGGATCGAGCATCCGGGAAGGGCGTCGGCATACTCCAGGTTCCCAGCGACGAGGTCAAGCCGAACCGGAAGCTCAGAAGCGTACGCGACGTCCAGTTGAAAGCGCGGCTTGTAGATAACGCACAGAAAAAGGTCGGCGCTTTCAATGATCTAGAACAAGCCATCGCACCCTCTATCTTCGGCTACCAAGACCTACTCTTCGGCGCAAGAACAGTCCAAAACGCCAGCCGTCTCCGCGACATAACCTGTCTGCACGCCCTAAACCACATCCTCACAACCCGCGACCGCATCCTCAAGAACAACGCCAAGCTATCCACATCCAAAGACTCCTCCGACCCCGACATCGAATACCGCGACCAAGGTTTCACGCGCCCCAAAATCCTCTTCCTGCTCGAAACAAAACAAGCCTGCGTCCGCGTCCTCGACTCCCTAACCTCCCTCCACGCCTTCGAGCAACAAGAAAACAAAAAACGCTTCCTCGACTCCTTCTCCTTACCCGAAGAAAAATTTTCACCCGACCGCCCCGCCGACTTCCGCGAACTGTTTGAAGGAAACGACGAGAATGAGTTCCGCATCGGC